CCCACCACCAATACAATATAGTCACTCCTGGATTTACGACCACAATTGAGCCCAGAATTACGGTCATTAAACGGTTGCTGCCATTAAGCAAGGCACCCATGCAATCCCACCTCTCCTCACGGCAGTCATTATGCGGAGCGTGAGATGGCTTTGGGGGGGGGGGGGGCTGTTTCCAGGGATGCAATGCCCCCCCCACCCCCAAAACAATATAGTCACTCCTGGATTTACAACCACAATGGAGCCCAGAATTACGGTCATTAAACGGTTGCTGCCATTAAGCAAGGCACCCATGCAATCCCACCTCTCCTCACGGCAGTCATTATGCGGAGCGTGAGATGGCTTTGGGGGGGGGGGGTTAGGGAAGGCCTTGGATTGCCGAACGAATGGCCGTAAAGAGAGGACTACCTCTAAGGAGCCACCCGAGAAACCCTGAAGTGCTCCCGATCAGATCAGCCCCCAAGCTTTTCCCTCTTTCTCCCCAACACCCGGGTAAAATTCCCGGATCCTGAATCTGCCCTGCCCCGATTGGCTACTCTCCAAGGATTTCCGCGGGTGGATCCTTTCCTGCCCCTCTTAAAAGACCACGGTTCTCCTCCTCCTCCTCCTCCTCCTCCTGCTGCTGTGTGATGCTGTTTGGAGCTGCAGGGAGGTAGCCCCCACCCCTCTCTCCTAGAAAAATGAGATATCCTGGGAAATATTGAAAAAGGCAGAAGACTATTTTCTCCCCTGGATAAGAAATGGCGAAACATGTTTTTAGGCAGGAAACAGACTCACTCGTCGTAGCCCCCACCTTTTGTCAACAGCTAGACTATTCTACATAACGAAGGTGGGATTAGCCTTCCCCGGAAACTCACCACCCGGCATCTGGGAACTCAACCAAGCTTGGGACTCAAAAGGACACACAACCTACGAAGTTAGCTAAGGACCCCCTGACCCTGGGAGTCCAACAACCAATCAGAATGCATTTCTTACACAGAGAGGTGGGGCCGAACAGAGAGTATAAAAAACGCAGGAACTCTCAGCAAGGCCCCCTTTTCCCTCTCCTTTCCTTCTCCACCCAACGCAACATCTGGAAGCATCTGGATCCCCCTTTTCCGCTCAGGATCTCAAGCCACGTGGTCCTGTCCACCATTAAACCCTCTTTCCACGCAGCCTCCGGGTTTCCCCCACTTGGAGCTGAACCCAGGAGGACGTTTTCTTCCAACAGAGCCCATCAATGCATCCTCAGCTCTGGGTTTTGGGAAGCCAGGGACGAT